ATGTTTTTATTTGAATTCTACTGATCTGTAGAATTCAAATTAAAAAAATTTGGTTGAATTTGATGTAGTGGTCGTCAAGATATCTTCAAAGATATAAATAAAAAGTACTTACAGAATCCTGTGATTACCCGATGATCGTTGATCATCGGAAAATTTCGTGATGTACCTGGCTTTAAGCAACCCCCCAAATTTGGGGTCGCCTAAAGTGGAGATAAATCATGTGACTATCAGCAGATCAAATTGTAGAATTTTGATGATTGTCAGCGAAGCAATTCAAGAAAGAAAAATGAAAAACCGAAAAAATAAAAAAACGGCAGTCTAAACCTGCCTTGGGTAGGTTAAGCAAAAATGTGGGAAGGCAATTTTGCATATATCTCACTACCTAAAACCTGACCTAACCCTAATATAAGATGACCCTGACCCTAAAGCTAATTAAATAAATATTAATTGTCGCAGATCATAATGAAATCGGATTAAAATAAAATGAGGGGTTTCTATTTGACTCTCTAAAACCCATTTTATACTTGTTTATTATAAAACCTACCTCTAAACCCTAATCCTAACCCTAAAAAAATGCCAAAAAAATGCACCCCAAAAATTTGTATTTTTCGGTGGCTTGTTTATTTTACACTATCGCTCATTTCATTTTAATCTGATTTCATTTTAATCTGCACATTAATTATATAATTTATCTCCGCTTTAGACATCCCCCCAAATTTGGTAATATCCGAGACTGCAATTTCTATTTATCAACATTTCTATTGTTTATTTATTGTTACACATGATTCTGAAATTCTGAAATTTGATTGACTGATAAGATTTTTAGAGACGCAAAAATACCGTTCCTGATAAAGTTCTAAAAAAGTGCCTATACTCTATAGCGAGGTATACTAAAAAATTAGGACTAGGATTCGCTTTTAGGACCCTATCAGGAACAATACTCGAAATTTTTTTTTAACTCCGTCCAGATCGTATTGGAATATTTTTGCGATAGCAAGTGCGACTTCGATGTTGGGGAAGAAATTTTACTATATAATATGCACTAATCTTTAATTAAATAATTAAAAATATAAACAAACGAAACTATTAGAAAAAATAATTAGATTTATTTTGTACATTAATAAATATTTACGTAATAAAATTTTATATTAATAAATATTTACGTAATAAAATTTTATGAATGATAGTTTATTATTATGTATTCAACGCTAAAATTTAGACAATTAGTTTAAATTTCTTCTTTTTTGGGTCCTATATACATACATAAATATTATTGTCAGGGTCGAATATGCATAGCATAGTCGCACTGACTGTAGATCATCACGGGCCCCGTCAAATATTGGTTGTATCTGACTATCGGATGGAAATTTGAAGGTCTCAATTTGAAAATATATGCCCTACCAAAATCTATCTATACTCTTTTATTAATAACCCTAACCCTAAATCCTAACTTAACCATAAAAAAAAAGCTAACAAAAAAGGCCCCAAACAATTAAAAATCGTATATAAAATAGATTCAAATTTCACCATCATCCGATTTCACGATCATCCGCGACATAAAATAATTAAATAATTAAGACCACCATTCTTACCTTTTTGACCCTATAAAGATCCACCTTTTCCCAGTTTTCAACTCAAATTTCGAGCTTACCTTAAGTTTTATCTAAGATGCCTCAACATAAGTCATCTCGTTATGCCGCTAATCGGCGCTATTATGAAAAAAATCGTGAGCGTATTCTCAAGAGTCGTAAGGAATCTCGGGCTCGTTCGAAGTTTTTTGAAAATTTTTTTTTACGCCTCGGTAATCTATCCTATTGAGAATATACAATCTTCTGAATACGAAAATGATGCTGGCATCAATTCTAACGAAAATATTCTCAACATCCAATCCTTCGGACACGAAAATGATGCGGGCATCAATTCTTATTATAACAAAAATTAAATATTCGTTGTTAATTATTCGCGTTGATCCATTGAAAATTGGCAAATGAAATCGTTATTCATTAAATCGAGATTGCAAAATCTGAATATAAAAGACGTGAAGGTCAGTAGTAATAAGAAAGCTTGAATTTGAATTTTATTTATGAATCATTAATATGTTTCTCTTTTATTTTACCAATAAGTATTTCTATAAAGTTTATCCATTTATTTTACGTTATTTCTAAGCATAATTTTTATCTTAAATAAAATAAGTTTTCAAACGACTTTTGGTTTAAATTTTCTCCCATTTACCATTGTGTGGACCTATTTCTCTAAAAGCTTCCATTTTCGGAATAAAAAAGTTAAAAAGTTAATTCCGGCCAAAAATTATGTGAACAATTATGTAATGCGGACCAAAATTTTGTAGATCGCAGCCGTTAGCGACCAACCGATATCGCCACCCAAAAAAGTTTCGAAAATCGTGATATTGTCAATTCATCATGATTAGGATCATGATAATAACAATATTTATAAGATATTAACTGATTTAGTAATTGTTTTTTCTTCGATTCTTCAAAATGAAAAGCGATCGTTTCATTTCGACAAACCAAGTGATTCTTTTAAGGGCATAAAATTAAATATTTTAAAAATATACATCGATTGCCGCAACCAAATTTTCACTAATAATAAACGAAAAAAAAGAATGAAAGTCGAAATAAAATTGTAAAAACTAATCAAGAAAATGCAATTGCACCAGAAAACCTTGTAGATTTTATTTTTAATGCTTTTCCGGAAGACTATAACTCTGATTATTTATTTGATCAAAAAGTTTTTATGATTTTGAACCCAGAACGCAACCAAAAAAAATTATCGGAGAAAACATAATGAATACAAATGGCTCGATAGTATTAATAAAAACTTAAAGCCATTGCATAAATTGGAAGAGGATTATAATTATTTTAAAATGCAATGGAATACCAAATATTTATAAAAACCGTAATCATAACCATAATACTTTCTAGCTGTAATAAATATTATGTTTAGTGAGTTTATTCGAAATAAACAAAATTGCTTATCGTTATTATTTTGTTAATCTATAAAATTTTTTTCTTTTATATTTTTTGTTCAAGTTATATGAATATTTGGTGCTCGATATATTTGCCACGTGGTGTTCGAAACTTTTTTGGGTGGTGATTTTACCCGGTCGCCGTTAGCCAATCAAAATTGAGGCAAAATTGGTGTGACAGATAGGTACTTTAAGTCATCCCTCACATATATTTAAAAAAAAAGGTTTAATACATATATATTAAATTACATATGTTTGGGCGCCTAAAAAAATGATACAAGTTTGAGTCAAATTACCCATTTTGGGTTTGGGTAACCTCACTATTGTGTAATTAAAAAGGGATGATCACAAATAGATTACGACCAATTAAAATGTAAGTTGTAGGTGTTATAAAAATTTTGATTGTGTCATGATTTATAATTAACGCTACTATCGTAAAAACTAACACTCTTTCAAATCTTTATAATCAAGTTTTAAAGATGTGTGGTAGAACTTTGTTGCCTCTGGTAAATCCTCATTTCTTGATATAAAATAATGAATTATTAATCGCTAATGAATGACAAATAGGCGCCGGACATTATCCGACAAACTTTAGGAACTTCAAACCTAAAATGTACAAAGTGGGTTGATCAGGAGAAGTATAAGCCATCGTAAGTTTTGAAAAATCATTTATTTTAAAACACCAAAATAACTTAAATAACAGAGTATATTCGTTTTTTTTTTTAGATATAATGTTTCGCCAACTTATTATGAGCCTGTTGTTCGTGCAGACTCTGAGCTACATGAGAATGTTATTCATTCCATGGTACGTATGTACATAATTTTTGCTACCAGGTTATGTTTATAACTTACCTTAATTTTCGTTTGCTTAATAGAAATGGGGTTTAGTTCCATCATGGGCAAAGGATAAATCTAAACCTTCTACTTCAATGCAATCAATTAATTGCCGAGATGATTCATTATATGAAGTAGGTGGGAAACCGATGTTTAAATCTTTAAAGAATAAAAATCGATGTATCGTTATTGCTCAAGGGTATATCTATTTGAATATTACCATAATTTGTAAGGCGTATTTTATTTTATCGTCAATTTTAATTCAAGTTGTTTTTTTGTTTTTTTTTTAGGTTCTATGAATGGACTCGCGGACGCAATAAGAAAACACCTTATCTTATTAAAAGAAAAGATGAAAAGCTACTTCTTTTTGCGGGGCTTTATAAGAAAGTTCAATTAGAAGGTAAGTTTAAATGTAAACATGATGTATTTAAAAATAAACGTAACCTTGGATATTAAATAATTAACTTTTTACCAGATGGCGATACCCTTTATACATATACGATTATTACAACCTCAGCCTCTAAGTCCCTATCATTTATTCATGATAGAATGCCCGTTATTTTAGAGAATGATTCAGATTGTTTGGCCAAATGGTTGGATCCCAATATTGGCTGGAATTCAGAATTGGAGGAGCTTTTAAAATCTTACGAGGGAGAATTAGAATGGTTATAATAATTTAAAATTTTCATATATTTTGGTAGCTGAAACTGAGATTGATTGTGCTGAGATTTGGGCCTCTATTTAAATCTACCACACCCACTAAAATCCACTTATTTTTTATAATCTTAAATCCTAACTCAAAATCTTAAAATAGATCCAATTCTCGGCATCAGTTTTCAGCTGCCACGTGTATTATTAATTTAGCACTAATTATTTTTCGATAACTCTATATTCTTTTAGTCATCCTGTCTCTCAGGATGTAGGGAAAGTAAGCAATGATTATCCGAGTCTGATACAACCTATTGCAAAAGCCAACATTGCAAACTTTTTTTCGGTGAAAAAAGATGAAATAAAAGATGAAGGCATATCAAACTCCAAACCAATAATTAAAGATGATGTTGATATGAAAGAACCAATAATTAAAAAGGATAGTGATGATGATGATATGAAAGAACCAATAATTAAAAAAGAGGATGATGTTGATATGAAAGAATCAGTAATTAAAAAAGAGGATGATGAAGATATGAAAGAGTCAGTAATTAAAATAGAGGATGATGATGATATGAGAGAATCAACTTCTAGTATTTCAACCATACCATCCAAACGCTCATTGGATGATTTGAAAGATGATATAAAAGATGAATTTTTATCGGATGAAGGAAATGATCTAAAGCGATCACGTAAACTTACACCGTCACCACCTGACGAAAAACCACTTAATGACAAAGACTTGGATACGGATCAATTGCATACATCGACAAGTATGATACCTAAAAAAAGGTCATTAAATTTTACAGCACAAAAGCCGAACTCAACCACGAAAAAAAGTAAGACAAAAGCAACTGATGCTTCCACATCAAAAGGTAATATACCAAAAAAGAAGCAGAAAGCCAAAGACAAGGCGGAAGGTTCAGCTAAAATTACTAGTTTCTTTTCAAAATCAGCAACATAACCGATTTCATAGATTACTAAAAATATGTGTTTTGATGAGTATTCAGGAATTTATATTTGTTAGCAAATTTAGAGCACATGCATGCACTTTAAGTGCATATGTAGAAAATTTGTAATAAAGGTTAAAAGTTTGCTCGATAATCTTACTATGAATTAGATATCTCGCGATTCAGTGATAACATCTGTTCTTTTCAGTGAAAGAAATTGAATGTTACGAAGTATATCTGATTATTGAATGATGAAATATTTGAATATTGATTATATAAAAAACAATAAGCCAATTTTAAACATTATTCAATAATTAGACTAGTTAGGATGTTAATCGGCTTGTTCGAACTCCTTTCATCCCCCTAAAAAATTTATAAGCAATAACAAATAGTATTCTACATATATATATATATATGTATATATATTTGTATTTATATTTAACGGGATCCATATTCCTCTTTAAATCACTTAACAAAAGAAAAAACTTTATTATTATTTAAATATTGGGGGTTATAATTTTAGTGTAGTAAGTATATCTGCACACGTAATATTGAAGCACAGTGTCCATACCCATGCTGATACTATGCTTTTTATTATCCGACAGTTTATGCCTATGAAGAACAATTATCGAAATTATGGGAGATAGATAATAGTATGATACCCACGTTATTGGGTTATGAACGATGGTGGATAGACTCCTACAGCCATTACTAGATGAATACAAGTTTTTGGTAGAACTTTCATAAACGTACAGTCCCAAAGAATGAATTGCTGTAATTCTTAATAAGTAGACAAAACTAAGATATTATAAATTCTAGGATGCAAGTTCATAGATCTTTTTGGTTTATAGAAAAGTAAATAAGTCCTTAGCTGCATTAAGAAATATGTTTGACCAAGTATTAAAACAAGCTGAAAGATTTAGACTAGTCGCAGATGGTTATCGATTGGATGAAGGGGTTAATAAAGATAAAAAAAAAAAAAGGCATCTATTATTATCAAAAAGCTGCTAGAATGGGGGACAATTATTTGATACACCATCTTAGAGAATGTTATCATAATGGGATTGGAGTCGAAGAAGATTTAAAAAAGCTTTTAAATTGTATTTGCAATCCGCTGAACTTGGTCTAGTTGTTGGAATAAAAAAAGTTGGATATTATTGTGGCTATTTGCTTGTTTCATTCATTTAGAAGAGAATTACGTCGTTTTAGGTTCATCGCAATTATATGATGAACAAAATGGAGCCATCAGACAAATTGAACAATATAACGAAACTATAAAACATTATAATCGTTCTAGTGCTGTTTCATCTTCTAGCATTGAAGTAAATAATATGGCGATAGACAATATAGACATTCGATTTCTGGGTGGAGATGGAATATATAATGAATACAAACATGCGCGAGTTCATTGGGTTTTTGGGCAAATCAAAAGATTTAAAATCCGATTATATTGTAGCTTCAGGACATTGCTCTAAACGCATCAATACCTCGTTTTACTATCTTCCATGGAATACAAATACCATTAGCATTCTGCCCGACATTGTTTTATTCATAGATGATAAGGAAATTATCAAACTTATCACTAAAACAGTGGTTATAAGAAGGTTACGGTATGTTCCCCGAAAGTTATTTACCCGAAAGGCCACTTACCCGACATCACAAGGGTGACAAATTGCTAAAAATATATACCTGCAGCTAATCAAATGCTAACCCTAACCCTATGTGATGTCGGGTAAGTGGCCTGTCGGGTAAATAGCTTTCGGGGAATTGAGCAACAACCTGATCAGATACGTAATTATTCAACGATTCCACCCTCTACCAAGTACCAATCCACAAGTAACTTGTGTAGTGTAGCCAGACTTACATATATGATCATCATGACTGGATACACTGTCATCATAAACCGTATAAACTATCAACTCTTTATTTTGTTCGGAATCAATATTTCTTATAAGGTTGTTCCCGAAAACTATTTACCCGACAGGCACACTTACCCGACATCACATAGGGTTAGGGTTAGCATTTGATTAGCTGCAGGTATATATTTTAGCAATTTGTCACCCTTGTGATGTCGGGTAAGTGGCCTTTCGGGTAAATAACTTTTGGGGAACATACCGTAACCATTCGAAAATTTCGATAAGCTTTTATTCACTGAGTTATTAATTCGGTCAATCATCGAGCATCGGTCAAAATTAAAATTTGACATGTGATTTAACGTTAGAGTTGGTCACCGAAACCTTTTTTGCCAAATCCGAAAGTTTCGGGCTTCGGATTATAGTTTCCGAAACCTCATCCGAAACTCGAAACCTCACCCGAAACCCGAAACCCTATCCGAAACCCCGAAACCTAAAATTCCTTCCGAAACCTCGAAACTCCAAAACTTTATGATTGAAAAAATTTAGGATGCTTATCGATTCGAAAAATTGTCAAACGTTTAGGTGTTAGCAAATCTTCTATAAGCCGGTTTTCTGGTTTTCAAGGATATGGATCTACATTTAAACTAGTTGACGAATTCTTGATCATATTTCTAACTTTTCCTAATATTAGCACCTATTCATGTGGCATGTTTATTATAAAAGTCTATTTTATATCTGGAGCCCTTTTTATATTTCTACTCTTTCCTATAAACTTTGCACAAATTAAACATACCAAATATGCTAAACAAGTATTCAAATGAAAGTTTAATAATGTTGAATGTGCCAACATTACAATGAAAGAACGAGTATACTTCCGTTAAGAATAAAATAGAATAAAATGGGAATTATTATAGCTAATAAATCTCAAATTATTTCAAAAATTGAATTTTGAAAATATTCCATGTACCTGAAAATAAAAACAGTTATAATATGTATATATAATAATATAGTATACAGGTAGATATATGTGTTGGGGAAATATGTAAGAGTATCGGGAAGTAGAACTGTCTAAATAAATTTCTATATATTTTATATTTTTCAAGTTTCGGATTATAGTTTGAGGTTTCGGATTATAGTTTCGGGGTTTCGGGTTTCGGGGTTTCGGGGTTTCGGTTTTTTTAAAAAAAAATCCGAAACTAGTTTCGGATTAGAGCTATCCGAAACTAGTTTCGGGTAGGTTTCGTTTCGAGTACCAACTCTATTTAACGTTAATAAATTTTTATTGATTTAATTAAATCTTTCGAATGAAATTAATTAAAGACGGAATATTTAATAAGGATACTGCATCTTCTAATAATGAAGAGAACGAATATAACTGTATAGTGAACCAAAATCTAATATAATAGAGGCTTATCGATGCTCTAAAAACAATCCTGGGTTTGGCAGTATTTTAATTTGATCATAATAACCAATAAAGATTGCAAAAAAAACCCTCAATATGGCGGTCTTTACACAACCAATTTTAAGAACCAATTTTAAGAAAAATGGCACGAAAATTTTATGCGCTTTCTGCAACAGTAATTAAATGAACAACTGTTTTCGAATTGAGGAAATATAAATGAATGCGAAGAGAACATTATTAAATCTAAAGTTATTTTGCAAAATAATATTTTTTAAAACGTAATATGAAGGCAATTGATTTTATTCTTTCTAACGATAAATATAAAGACTAATTCATGTAAATTGCATATTAAATAATTTAATAATAAACGGTACAATTGATATTATGTTATATATTCTTTTTTATGTAACACGGGATATTTTGAATATTCGAATATTCGATCAAAAATTTTCACCGATTTTTGAAAATCGAGACCTTTTTAATCAACCGATGTTCGACATTCATCAATCTCTAATACTTGGGTTCAATGGGTTTTATACAAAGTCAAACGGAGAACTCAAATCTTCATAAACTTTTCAACAGCGATGACCGGTAAAGGTGACAGTGGAGGAACCGTATTTTCTTATATACTAGATTTGCAATATGTGAGTCTAAATGACAAACGTTGGGGTTCTAAAAGTTATCTTGTATATTTACCATTAGAACAATTTTAAGAACGTTTGAATTAAAGCTTATCTTGAGTGGTAGTTCTTAGTGATGGGTCTATCAATGTTAACAAATGGTGATACTTAATTGTCACATTCAATAATTTGTAAAGAATCAGAATTTTTTTAATAGATCACAGCGTGTGAAAATTGAATTTTTAACATCAGTAGTCCCATCGCTAGTAATTCTAGTAATGTTAAATTAGGCGAATTATTATTAATTGATAATATATTGTATTATAGATAATGTTTTAATAATACGTAGATACTTTTTAAGAACTATCATATTGCAGTATTTATTTGAGAGTTTGGCTAAATTGTTAAATTTGTTTTTTTTATATTTTATACTGTAACAAATTAAATTTTTAGTTTCTTTATTTTCATTTTAAACTTATATTTTAGTCAGTAATTTTTCCGCTTGTATATAATTTAATTATGCTACCATCCATTTTAGGTGTTACAAAGATCAGTATGGTATGGATGTGATTTTATCAAACCGTACCATACTGTTTTGATAATTGTCACACCCTCTAGAATTTAGGGTTAGATCTGCCCGGAATTATGCTTAACGCCAGCCAGGTTTTTAGTAGGTGTGACAATTAAGCAAAACAGTATGTAATCCCAGTACTATATAAAATTCGCCCTGTACCATTCTGATCTGCTCACCACATGATTATCGGAGCAAACCTTGTACACATTTTCGGTACGCCATGTACATTGACAAATCACTACAAAATTTCAAATAAACAGTTTAACATCTAACGCTAATACCTTAATTACTCCACCAGTGATATTTACCGTATTTATGTTAAAAATAATCGGCTCTGCATAAGCCTAATGATCTTTAGATAAAAATTTTTGCTAAAAAACATTTTGCTATTAGATTGAAGTTAGTGTATTGATAGTAAGTTAGTAGAGATTAGAAACTGTAATTATACCAAAATTTTGCAGGAAAAAACTTTTCATTAATACAGTCAAAGAGATTACCAAATTTGGATATCGATTCTGGAATGCTCTACAGAAAATCTTTAAGTGATAATTGGCTTATAATC